AGGTCAACATGTTGTTGTTTTTCAATGAACGTCATCATTACTCTTGCAAGATAACAATTATGAGACTGTTGAATCTATTTGTATCACAATCCAAAAATAGGAATAACCACAAAAAAACCCATTTACTGATTTTTTTTTCTCCCCCCCTTTTAAAGAAACTCGTGTTCAGGCAAATCACATCATGTGAGTTCACTTTACTCCTCACGCAGGAATCCATGACCTCAGTCTCATGTTCTCGGGTCATTAAGAGAACAGCTCTCAAAGCCAACATATTGACAAAGATATGACAAAGATCATGAGCTTCTCATTGCTGTGGGACTTGGACTCAAATGATCTTTTTTTCTGGGGGGCAATAGATTGGACAGTAAGCAGAATGTAGAGGAAAAAATATTAAGGAATTAGTAGTTGTTTTTCTTTTCCTGTCTCTATTAATGGGGAAATGCGAGCTTTTAGCTCTCAGTTCCTGTGTTTCGCTTAAAAGCATGGTTAACAAGACAGTATGAACCTGTCTCTCTCAACTGATTCGACAGCTGTCACAAGATCCATACTTCAGGTTAATGAAAACCAAGTGTTCACAAAAGACCCGAGAGGCAAATCACTTAAGATCTATCTCCCCAAAAAGAGTTACAGGATCATTCTTAAACTCCGGCAGGGAAATGTTTTGACAGTAGAAGAAAGAAACCTGACACAGCTTACATTTTTACTACTGTTCACAGAAAAGTTTGGAGTTTTCTGGTCAAGATTATTCCTGAGCTCCCGGTAATCGCATGATCACAACCAAGTACATTAAAGGGTGCCGAGATCCTCTACATAAACGCTCAATGCTCGACACTTTTGAAAACGCAACCTTGAAAGATATTAGTTCAACTCAGTTAAGGAAGAAGCCAAGGAAAATTAGAAGTCAAAAGTTTTGTGAAAGGAAAGGGGAGAAATTGTGTCCAACAGGAGACAGATTACATACGTAGTCCTTCCTTCTGTAGAAACTTATTAATTGCTGTTTAAGGCTGGGTGTTGCATGGGGTAAGGGCAGGAGGCGAATGGCCCCATGAGCAGCAGCACAAGAGTTGTGGTCCTGACGCCACAGCGGCTGGGCCTACACCGGGGCCACAGGCCGGGCCGCACCAGGGCCGCAGGCCGGGCTTCTCAGCCGCTAACAGAAAGCACATGACAAGGTCAAGAGATGCCCATGTACGCCGGAAAAGGCTTCTCCCCATCTAAAATGAAGCGGTTCAAAACACCCAGCTCCTGTCCTGAAAGCAAACGGTGCTGTGGTAGGACCAAACACCTGCGCTTGCAAGATAAATGTGTTGACAGTCGCTCTTCTGCTTCACAGCCCAGAAAGCGGGGTGATTGCACTCCAGTCCTGTACGTGCTTGTGAACACATAGATGCTATTCCTTAATAAGCTTGAGTTAACAATTGGCTGTTAAAAGAAAATGCACTGAGCAACTGAAACCTAATTTGAAAAGGAAATACAATATTCCAATAAATGTATGCATGAAAGCCAAGAAGCTGCATAATAGGCATAGAAAACACAAAAATATGCAATTTACATATATTACACACTAATAATCTCTGTTCTGACATTATGTTTTAAAGAGCTCTGGCTGAGACGGAGTGCTTGCAGTTTGGTTGTTTCTCCATAAAATACAAACAAGGACCCTCCTGGCTATCAGCTCCCCAAGACATTAATCACTGTCTCATTCCTGCAAAAGTCAAGCCTTTGTAGGTCTGGGAGAGAGGTTCTCTCACCACAACACGCCAATAACGACTAAACCAGATGAACAGGGAGCATCATCAGTCATCTTGAGAGCTGCAGATCTTGCCTTGATGTTGGGAAGCGCTGAATGTTAACAAGGTGGCACTTCAGCCCCAGCACTGCTGGGTTAGTTCCCAATAAACTGCCAGTCCACAGGACAGGTATTGAGGAGCACTCACCTTCCCCAAACTGACCAAGATCTGCAGTCCTCTCATTTCTAACTACATGGCCAACATGATAAAAATAAAGTTACAGCACTCTAGCTATTCCCACTTGTCCTTGCCCTTTTACACAGGAATTGCCTTAAACAAGGCTTTTGTCCGTTGTATCCAAGAACAAAGTGTGAAAGGAAACATCCACAGTGGAAAAAAAAAGCAACCCCGGGAGTCTCTGTGGCAGACCCTCATCAGGAAAAACTGAACTCAAATGGGAAACAGATTTAATAAGAGCATGATCTTGTGAATTTTCATAGATTTCCTCATAGATCCTGTGAATCTCTTTAGATTTGGTTTGTATGTTCAAGGGGTTGTTTATCAGAGAGATCATTCTGGTGTCAGCCCTTGCTCCCAACCCCCCAATAATTCACCACAAATTCAGCTTTACAAACAATATACCCAGAGCGCTTGCCTGCGAGAGGGACACTGATGGGTGGAAACATTATGCTAATTGCTCACACACCCAGATTTATTGTGGCCAAAAACCCACCAGTGAGTAAAACACCCTCTTTCCGCCTCATCTAAATTCTACGCACACTTCCAGCATCTCAACATGCCCACTCAGCAGGAAAATTCCCATTCCTCTTTCTTCAAGAAAACCCTCTGCACAGAACTGGCAATGGACTTTTTGGCTACATCTGCTTCGCCCCCTCAGTCAGCTCATAGACACCTAAGGGGAGCAAAGAGCCCTGAAGAAGCTTGACAAGATCATCCTCTGGAGCACACCCCAAAATGAGCTTACATTTTACACACAGGAATGTGACATACACAGCACCAACATCTTTGGCTCTTGTTTTGGGTTATTTCACTCATGTGAAATAACAGCTGTTATTTCACTCATGTCCCACAAATTGTTTCACAAAATTTACTTACCTGAGATTACACCACTCAAGAAAGATGGAAATAATTAGATATACACAGAGTCTAGGTATGTCAGTTTATACCAAGATCTCTAAATGGGTGTTGAGGCCTCAGAACTCTTTTGGAGCAGCTACTGCTGATTCTGATGAATATCTGGGGCTGGGGTTTTTTTGAGCCACAGAAAGATCTTTATCAGCTCATCAAGTTACTCCTCCTGATGCCAAGAAGCTGCTCCATGTCTGATCACTGGCTGTAGGGATGCTGCCCCACGTACGCTCGCTGAGCAGCCCCTTGCTAACCCTGTTGGAAAAGGGGCAGGAGCTCCAAACCAAAGGGTGGGAAAAGGTTACAGAATTCTACGGAAAGTTTCCAAACGTAAGGACAGAGGCGGGTGTAAAGAAGCACAGTAACTGATTAAAGTAGTCTAATCTCTTCTGCGATCTCCTTTTGATTATATCAAACCTCTAATCAGCAAGACTTTGGGCAAAAACCTGGCCTCGCTTTTTGTCCCACTTTTGCCCAGACATCACAAGATTTCTTTACTGTTGCGCTCAACTCTGTCTTCACAATAAAAGCTTTGTGAAAGGAAAAAAAAGAAAAAAGATCCCATTTTCCATAACCAGAACCAATATATATTTAAACTGACACTGACTACTTTTAACGGATTAACTCTGAACCCCCAAAAGATATTTATGTCAGAATTGTGGAAGACTTGCACACTATGAATCTGGTCATTTTTTTAAAAAAAAAAAGGCAACTAATTTAATGTCATGGCTCTTGTTGGGGTTTGCATTTAGAAATCAGAATTCTTCTGAACAAAATCCATTCATGTCTTGTTGGAAGTATAACCATTTGTTTTCCTGTTGGTATTTTTTTTTTCCTGAGGTTTCAAACCATAAAGTTTTGTACCCCACTCTATGCTATAGGAATCTGTGAAACTTAATTACATTTACTGTTACAAAAAAGGGTTTATGAACTTTTGCCTTTGGGCAAAAATGTTTATTTCATTGCCTTTGTTATTCATTCTTTTCAACTTCAGTGCCTTTGAACTTTTCAGCTGCACAGAGTTATCACCGTTGCACAGGAACCAGGAACTGTACTCGCGAGATGCAAACCACAAGTTGAAGAAAACGAAGGAGGCAAAGATATACGAGTCGTTATTTTGGCCACCCTTTGTGCCATTAAAATCTCATTTTCTGCCTATTAGAATGCCCTCTTCCTGCCTAGGCAGTGGTGATAGTCAGTGATTAGTGTGTAATTGAGTATAATTGTCTTTTCACTTTTCATTTGTGTCATTCTGAGCTTCTCTGTGTTTTTCTAACCACCAAGAGGAAAAAAAGGGTAGAGAGAAGATAAAGCTGTTAAAACTCTCACTCTCAGCCTGAAGAGATTCCCGATTGTAATTATAGATTGCATCCTTTGTGACTTACCAGAATTTAGTGGACATCTCTCTCCTAGCACCTGGTTTGCCCACACTAATAAACTAAACTCTCATCTACTTAAGCTTTGATTAATAATGTCAGATGCCACATGTAGGAAAATTTAACCAACCTTTTGACACTCAATTATTGAGGCAATTTATTAACATGATCTCCTAAAAAGAGCTCATGCAAATTAGCAAAACAATTATGGCATGCATGCATTTACATATTCCCCAACACCAGGAATACTCCAGGTTTACATATTTCTAACTCAATTAGAGCTCCTGTCAGTGTGCGCAGTTCAGCCCTTGAAACTTGCCTGCAGTTTTCCTGGATCAGCTGGAAAGCCTCCATGAGGTTATCTCCGAGAGATATTTTATTCACAGAAAAGCTACAAGATCAGAGTTCCCGAACTTCTCATACCCAGGCACGGAGCTTCAGGAAAATAGGAGTACATTACCAACACCTGACAAGTGAATGTAAACATGAACCCTGCATGATTACATTATCAATCACTCAAAATTAAATATAAGCTATGAGCCTTGATTCAGCCAGTAGAAGGAAAAAAATAAAAAGATATGTATATATATGTAAAAAGAAGGAAACCAGCAAACTGAAATCATGTGGCTTGTATAAAGAATACATTATGGTTTAAATTTGGCAATTCATTATACTGTGGCCTGAGGGAATAGACTCTTTGGTTCGGGTATACAGCAAATCCTCTGTCTGAAAACACAGGACTGACCTGAGGTGAAAGGCCATTGCCAATGGCAGGGTTCATGGGATTCGCGGGCCCGGACGGAGGCACAAAGCTGTCTGTATAGCTGGAAAACCCGTGCCGGCTGCTGGGCAGGCAGTAGGCAGAGCCGCTCTCCGCGTTCGAGGGGAGGCTGCTTTGGTGCACGGTGCTCGGAGGAAGCGGCTGAGGTCTGTGGACTGTACCGCTCGGATCAGACACAGCTAGGAGCAAGAGAAACATGTCAATACGTTTTCCCTCTCTTTTTTCTGGCATAATAAATTCATTATGTGAGGCTTAACCCACTATAATTCCATCAGGACCTGCATCTTGGCTAAACAGAAGGGTGTGTTGTTAATATTCCTGGGTATCTAACTGGGCCAGCTAAACCATGCAAGAGTTCTACCAAATCACTGTTTTAGAATACATTTTAAAAAATCATAACAGACCCATGCATTCTTCAAGAAATTTTTAGTGGGTGATTTAGAATCAATAAACCAAAATAGAAGTAAAAAAGTATTAAAAAAATTTAGGAAGGTAGGGAGAGCTTTACATCCTTAGCAGATGGAAGGTAGTCCTCCTCCAGGTCACAGCACAGTTCTTCCATGGTTTAAAGTGAAAGCAGTAGTGATGAGGAAAAGTTTGGAGCTTGGTAAAAACCCCTTAAAAAGTATGTGGCCTCAGAAACATCCACCAAGTAGCCAACAGAGTAGCCAAGCTTTAAAGCTCCTTTTTGCCCCCAAGCCAAAGCCAGCGCCTCCTTGGCACTATGCTTGAGCGCGAACCGCTCCTAGAACGGGCCAGCACCGGGCAGCGCCGTTCTGCGCGAGCGCCCGCTCGCTCCCGTACCTTGCGGGATGGAGGTGGGCTGGTAGGACGGCTCCGAGAGCGGGTAGGTGGGCAGCGTCGGCATGGCGCTGGGTGGAAAGCCGCCCGGAATGAGGTGGTTGAAAGCCATCAGCTGGTTGGCTCCTGCCTGCTTCCTCCATCGAGCTCGGCGGTTGCTAAACCAGACCTACAAATGTTTTAATTAGGCACGTTTGATTTTCATACACTTCATGTAGGTGCATTAGCAATAAGAGCATCATATTTCAAATGCATTTAGTGTCCGAGAAGAGACATAAGTAATCCATACTGGGCACATCTGCCATCAGTCTAGGTCCTAGGACTCCTTGGCAGCCTCTTCCATGGTTTAACAGCAGCTCCCAAGACCTACTTTTCCTTTCAAATACAGCCTCTCTGCAAGGGCCTGATTCACATATCTAATATTTTTTCTGGACTTTGGATCTGCCTTGACAAAAACAGTAAAAAGATTTATCAAAAACATGACCATAGCAATGGCCCCAACTCTCACCATCACATTTTTACAAATAAACCCACTGAAGTTCTGATCCCCAATTGTTTTAAAAACACTTTTTTTTAATCTACCGTGGCTTTGTCCTTCTCGTACAGCAACCTGTACTTAAAACAAGGGAGATCCAATCTAGAGTCATAAGGGCTAGGGGTTTGGGTTGAATTCCTTGTGGAAACAAAAGCAAAGAATAAATAAGCTACTGCACTTTAGAGGCTCAAAATACAACAGTCTTATACAAACAGGGTTGTCTTGGAAGAAGCACAATCTGTTTGTATTAGTGTAACATGTATAAACTAAATCATTGTGCTGGGCATTAGGCAAATGCCTACATAGACAGAGTAAATGGAGCTGGTCTAAGTGGCCCAAGCATTTGAAAGCCATGCTCACTTTCAAGGCACATTTATTTTAAGCTCCCTGGTTTCTATGTCACTTTCAAAGATGGAATGCAAATCATGTAGCCGATTTTGGGGGAAAAAAAAAACCACTGCTGCGTCCAGACAAAATTTATATCTCTGAAGAACTCAAAAACAGAGATGAATTGAGAGCAGACAGCAACAAGACTTTTAAGAGAAGCATTGGAAAATGAAGTTTTCCAAACATCTAGATTTGGGTTGACCAGAAATCACTCAGCAATATAATATAAAATGTTATCTTGCATTGGCAGAGAATTGATTAGGTGACTTTATAGATTTCTTCCATCCCTATTTTCTAATATTTAGATCTTTCTTTTTATTATCATTTTTCTTTTAAGTAGTTTGCAACTGATCATGCCAACATCTTGTTTTGCTGATCTCAATGGGATATTCTTTAAGAGACATTTTTATTCACTTGGGAAACACAGTGGTCTAATTAGCCTTGACGTTTCAACTGCCCAATCACAGACACAGTGCATGCTATGTGCTTTTAAGGGAAAAAGATCTCTGAACCAACAGCGTGAGGCATCCAAGATGTGAATTTTGCAGGAAACCAGAGGATATTTTGTGTTAAATGCAGTCCTGACCATTGCAAGCACGAGTGCCAAAAACATACCAAGTCCCAGGGCTGATGAATTGTTGATGACACTTCACGTTCTAGCCAAAGATTTTTTTTTTGCCTGTTGCCTCATGGTGTTTTTCCCAGCAACCATCCCCTACACTCCCCATATACCCCACGATCCACAAACCTGCCTGTCCAAAGTTACACCTGGAAGCAGCTCCCAGTGGACACAGCAGCGGAGGGTTTTGAAGGTGCCCAGGTGCAGGGTTGACCCCCGCACGCAGAGGGGACCCGCTGCAGACAGGGCCCTTGCTGGCAGCATCACCCACCTGTGCCACAGCCTCCCCGCAGAGCGGCCTGCGCCGGGTGCACGCAGGCAGGCGGGAAGCCCCGTCCAAGGCAGCCAGGAACACCAGGGCTTGTGGTGGTGGGAGACGCATTGGTTGCGATAGAACAATGTCATGGGAACCAGAATGTTAAATAATAATAATTACAATAAAAAAGACAAAAAAATCAGAAAACTAGGCTGCACCGGAGGGAACGAGGTCTCCCAGATCCTCAACTCCCATAGTTTCATTTGAAAAGTCTTTGAATCAGCCCTGCACAATCACTTATAAAACTGCTGGAGACTCCTGCAGAATATTGAGTAATGTGTCAAAATATGCATTTATAAAAGAAAGTGTCCCGTATTTGAGCAGGGACCAGAAAAAGACA